CTACACCAAATTCACAGCTATCTGCAAGGACCCATTGTCCTACGAGTGGTACCATCTAGTTTTACAAATACTAGACCTTTGCTCCAGTTTTGCTATGTTTTGTGCATCTTTAGCTTTTGTCATCAAGCTCACTGTAAGACTACTCCAGTTTGGACATTTAAATGTGAGTATTAATCAATGATTAATTTAACACAGTGACTCTTGCTACCATATATGTCACTCCTGCTCAAGGGAAAACCAGATTGTGAATTCACTTTATACCAAATTTACACATCAGTACTGAAGTTAGTAGAATTAATTCAGATATAGACCATTTGAAATGAGATAAGAAGTTGACCTTCAGTATCCTTTGCACCCAAACACTGTTTCAGCTAATGGCAATATTCCTTTAGTATATACAGCAAGGCCTTCTCATTACAGGGCTCTTATTCTATCAAACAGAGCCTTTCCTTGCACTTTAATGGGAACTGAATCTGACCCATCAGATCTGAATAGCAGATTTCAGTTTTCATCCTCCCTTATGACTGAAATGATGGCTGGCTATACCACATAGCTAAAGCCAGAGCAGACACCGACATGTTACCTGAATAACAAAGCAAAAGGTAAAAAGTCACCAGTTAAAAGGTATCACTGCACCCTAGCCAGAGCTTTTATAGGCACCAGCTTCTGAAAAGCATGAGAGGACTCAAAGCTGAGGTACAAGCCATATCAGAACAAACCTCTGGATAATTAGGGACTATACTAACACCCTAAGCCATACCTATCAAGTGTCTTCCATAACGAAACACCCCACTTATTTCCAAATCATACTTAAATGCAGGTGAAGTGGGAGAGGTCAGATGGGATCCATTAGACATTAGAAAACCTTATCTTTGTTAAAGAAAAGAATCCCATTTTGTTTCAAACAAACCTCTTTTGTTTTTCCCTTCTCCGCAACCTTTATTAAGAGCCAGTTCTGCTCCCAGTGAAATAATGGCAACATTTCTGTCAGTCTCAGTAGGTGCAGAAATAGATTCCTTTGAGGCATACAGAAATCGAGTGCAATAACAAATGATCATTGCCTGTACCTCTGCCGTCAACCTCAGGCACACCATGGTATATTTGTATCAGACATGTCTCAGCTCTGTCAAAAGCAGATTGTAAACTACTCGAAGCAGGGACTGTGCCTTCTTATTTGGCACTATTGGCACTTAGCGAATAATAAATCATGTCATATAAATGGGTATTGAATGGCTACAAGCTTAATGAGAAAGTTGGAAGCATTAAGCCTAGTTTAAAGTATGGGTAGAAAGGCCAAAAGAGCATGCAATCTGTAGTGCTGGACAGCTGTTGAATTTCATATTTCCCCAGAGCTATATTAATAATGTTCATCATTTTCATGCCCTCCGTGGTATTTTTCAGAGGACATGAATTGATTCTTTGTTAGTTAGACACAGCTTCCCTTCCAACATGCTTCCATTGCACATTTCCCCATCCCCTGGTTCCTGCATTCAGCTGCAGTGTTAACCACTTCTAGACTACTTCACCAAGAGCTTCCTGTAAAAGCTGAGCAACCTGGCCCCAAACCAGCAATTTAAGCACATGCTTAAATCTATGCACATGAATGGTCCCCAGGAAAGACAGGAGTACTATTCGCAAGGTTGAGCATTTTGCTGGACCATGACTAGAGAACTAAGCCCTTGGCAGAATCAAGACTCAATGGCCCAAAAATTCTCTCCCAAGCGCATAGTCAGTATTTTGCCTGCATGGATGAGGCTGAAAAAGAAAATTTGAAAGGTGTAATGCCAAACTACTACAATGAGCTCAGTTATGACAAAACAGTCTTGCCTCCCCGTATCTCACTCAGTGCTACTCCAGATCATTAGCAGTACCTGTGCATGGCACCCAAATACAGAAGATCGGTTAGAAATAATACAGCCTAAAGGAACAGCAAGGAAGCGTGCCAACCTGACAGTGGGATTTCATTTAACAAGCACAGATTCAAGTGTGGAAATCAAGTATGAAACAGTCGTAGCCAGCATTGTCTACATTCTTGGAGCAGCACTGAACTTGCAGAAAGAAAAGAACAGAGACACCAGCCCAGACACGCTCCAGCTGTCTGTAACTAGCGCTTGCCTCCTTCATGAAATATAGCTCTTCAGCTTGTTTTCATTTCATTATTGAATGTTATTTTTGCACCTCAGAAAAAAACAACAGAAGGAAAGTATTCTTTAAAATACTTTAGGCTTTTTCTTATGATAAGTATATGAAAACTAGAATATTTCTTTCCTTTCTATAAGAGATCCGAGTAATCCAAGTATAGCCTTTAAAATGGTGCACATGAAGTCTACAGTATTATTAGTCAAACATCTGTTTCCCAAATAAGGCCCCCCTCTTTCTCAGAACCAGCAGCATTTGCGTAGCTGTGGTGGTTATTCTCATAATTTGTGCTCATTTAGTATTGTGCAACGTACAATTAAATAGCCATATAAAACACCCACAGGTCAAGCTACTGCTGCTACAGGTAGCCTTACATTTCACACATTTTCTTGCAAAACGTTGCAGCCCTCTTCTTTTTTGAATGCTTATTTGCTTGTTCTCTAGCATTCTGTTTAGGTAAGCTATAGATATCTACTGGTCAGGCAACAACGTACTCAAAATATCAGGCATTTAATGAATTTATTACAGCCCTGAGCCTTTCCTCCATCCCCTAACCCTGGAGAAAGCCTGTGAGAAAACAGCTCAGTAGTTCTGTTTTGAAAGCATTCATTTTCAAAATGTGACAATTGTTTGTTTGTTTTTTCCTTCTCCACCAAATTTTGCTCAGAGGGGAAATGCCAGCACTGTCACCCCACTGTACAGCTGGGGAAACTCCACCCCACCCAAGAGATGCAAATCATTGCTACATAAAGATCAAGCTAAAAACTTCTGAAATAAATAAAATCATGACCTTGCAATAGCAGGAACTAATAGACTTCAACTGAACCCTCATTCAGTTCTCAATAGTCCTCAGGCAAAATTAATCCAGCAGTTTATATGTACCAATATAGTTAGATGTAGCAACACATCTTTCAGTGATAAAGCATTTCATTTTATAAATTGCCAAGGGCATTCAAAATAATAAAGTCAATTTTACCTATTTTTTTTCTAGGGGCAAAGACATGTATGGTAAACCATCATTTTCGGACATTTCTGCACATCTCTTGGACTACTATAGTACAGTCTTTGGTAGAACACTTTTCAGTTAACATGCGGGTATATTTTTATTTATTTTATTTCTCCCTCAAAACGTTTTTTTTTTAATAAAGAGTTGGTTGCACTGCTCTAAATGTGAAAGTTTTAAGCCTTAACCAAGGTTACTAAGTATATGGACAATACTGAATATCTACATTGAGATTTAAAAAAACAACCAAACAAACCAAAACTAGTTCCACTACTACAAATCCATATCCATGGATTTGTCTGCCTCTGCTCTATCTGTTCTCTCTTTGACAGGTGCCCTCACTCTCAATTAATGATGACTAAAGTATATATTCAGCCACCTCAGAAAGAAAATAGCTTACAGCTTCCACCCAAATGCATTCAACCTTTACAACAATCATGTTCCTCTAACAGGCTAGGGACAGACATTCAAAAAGCTGGACCCTGAATTGATTCAGTCTTTGCAGGTTAGTCTAACCTGCAAAGATGGAACTGATTCGCAAGTGCACAGACATTCACGTTTAATTCTGGAACTGCAGGCACATGCTTGCAGTGGCTCAGGCTAGAAACCAGGGGGCGCTAGAGCAGCCTTCCCTTCCCTTTGCAGCAGCCACAAGGCTGGAGGGAAGCTGACCTGGGGGGCATAGCCAGGCCCCTGCAGGGGCTAAGTATGAGTGTGGAGGGATTTAAACCCCCACCCAGGCCTGAAGGGACCCTGGCCAGGCTGTGCCTGGAGGAGTAAGAAGGAAGCAGCCCTTGCCAGGCTTGTCCCCGAGGCCAGACACTGTCTGAGGCAGCACCTCGGGCAAAGGTGGGGGCCAGGGGGTGGGGATTAAACTCTCCTGTCTCTAGGTGGGCATGGGACTCCAGACAGGGTCTACCCAGCTTTCCCTCCTGCTCTTGCTCAGGTGGTGGGGGGCCTGGCCAGAGCTGCATGGCCTTGCTTATCTACCCAGGGCTGGGACTGCAGTTGGGCTGCAGAGCTGAGCCCAGCCAGCCTGCGGGTGTTGCTGAGGGTGGAGGCAGAGGGGCAGCCCAGGCTGGGTGTGTATGGCCAGATTGCTCATGGCTCCCCATGCCCAAGCCAGCTAAGAAGGGCTCCTCCCAACCCACTGGGGCTGTATGGTAGCCCAGCTCAGGAGCACGGTTAGGGCCTGGCTGGGGAGCAGGCTTCCTGGACCAGCGCAGAGGTACTAGAGGGCCCCGAGCTCGGCAGCTGCCACCACACTTCCTGTCTGGTGCAGCACCAGGGGCTGCAGGCACACAACCGGCTGTGGGCTGGCCAGGGCCAGGAGTGACTGTTCTGCCCTCCTCACCTCCAGCTGCCACAACCACACTGTAGCAGGCTCACCTTTCAGAGCTTGGGTTGAGTCCCAGGCTTGAGATCCTGCTGTTTTGATTGGTGGAGCCCATCCACCAATCAGGAGGCAGCAGGAGAAATAAAGTCATGCCCCTTTCCTGAGGGGAGGGAGAGAAGAGCTCCCTCGGACCTGATTGTTGACTGTAAGCTGTCAGGTCCGGAAGACTTCAGGGGCGGAGCCCTGGAGCGTATAAAAGGAGCTGCGTGCCAGCATGAGCGGAGATGCTGCGAGGGACTCAAGAAGAGTGGAGCAAAGAAAAGCTGGGGAGCTCTCCTTCAGCGGGCAATGGGCCCAAGGCTCCTGAAGCTGCCGCTGGAGGAGCAGCCTTGGGAGCGATACGAGACCGCATGGGCTGTTGACAGCGCACAGGGACGGTGCGTGGAGACCCAGCCCTGGGAGCAGTGTGAGGCTGCTTGGGCCCATCATGGTGCATAGTTCGGTGCACAAAACCCAGGCTTTGAGAGCTGCAAGCAGTGGCTTGAGCCTGCAACCCCATCAGGGCCTTGGGGCTGCGGTGAGGCGGTTCAGACCTCATCTCCCAGCAAGTGGCCAGGTCCCATGGTGCACAGGGTGGTGCGCCAGCTTGAGCCTTGGGAGCCAGTGGAGCCTGCTTGGGTTAGCCACCTGGCGTGAGGACAGCTGGCCAGAGCCTGAAGGGCCCGGCCTGTGCTAAGAGAGCCCTCAGTGCCAAGCCAGGGCACGGGAAATGGTAGTGCTGCATCATGAAGCTCAGCACCCAGGACCAAGCAGCAGTGGTGCAGCAGCTGAGAGGAGCTGAGCCCTCAATGCCCAGAGTGGGGCACAGGGTGGAGAGAAGCCCAGCGGCACAGGAGAGGCCTGGAGAGGCACTCCAGCAGAGGAGACCCCATTGAGCTCAGCCCTGACCACCGCCACCTGAGGGAGCATGAGTCATTGGGCCCTTGGGTCCCACCAAGGGAAAGACATTTGGGGCAGGCAAACCCAGAGAAGGGGCTGAGTGAGCAGCCCCGCCCCGCCCCACCCATTCAAGGCACTAAGGGGAGGGGCCCTTGGTGCTTCCTGGACACCTCCCCCCACACAAGGGACCCCATTGGAAAGAGCACTATCTCTTGCCATGGGTCAGGGACTGTATTAAGGAATAGATGTTATTAAGATTGTTCATGTTTGCGCCTTATATTTTGCGATTGAAATGTTGTATTGTGATGTTGTAAGTAGTGTTATTTAGGGTTTGACCTTGCTTATTGGTTAATGTTCGCTGTGTAAATACATGTAGATGATATTTAGTCTTACGTTTATGTATATTATAACTCAATAAATTGTATATAGTTAAGAACTTTAGGCTTGGGCTAACTCTACAGAGGAAAGTGGGCTTGGGCAACTCTATAGAGGAAAGAGAGATCTGCTCGAGATTCTGGCATCCCTCTCACAGCACCCCTCCCACCTATTCATCCCATCCTATTGAGAACAGGGCATACCCTTAGGTGTATCCAGGTTACATTTTGGGGGCTTGTCCGGGATTTGGGGCAGGCAATTTGCTGCTATAGGTGCTGTGCTTCTTTATAGAGGTCCCACCCTAGAGATATATCGGACCCTAGTGGTTCCCAGGCTTCAGGGGGCACTAGTGCCCCAGGAGTCTCAGGGTCAGAGACACTGCTTCAGGGTCAGGGACACTACCTCCTCCAGACTGGGTCTCTATTCTATGGCAGGTCCTCAGAGACATGGCGGAAACCTCAAAGGATAGGGCCGTTTATAAACGACTGCAGAATTTTTCGGGGGTATCCCCTTTCCCCCTGGGGGAAGAGGACTTTGACACTTGGCAAGCCCACATCCAGGAGACCTTGTTAATGTGGCAAATCCCTGAGGAGAAAAAGCGGCGTCAACTATTGAACGTACCCGTGGGTGTACCTGGGTTACAACATCATGCCACTCTGGGTGTGGGGACAGGAAACTTCAGCTCCATGGCTTCTGCCCAGTGCGTGGAGCTCTGGCTCCAGCTCCTGCCTTGGAAGGTGGAAGGCGTCTGAGTGAAAGGCATCCAGGAGCTGCAGATGGGACTCCACGCACTGCACAGAAGCCACTGGGCCTGGCAGGGCTATTTTTCTCCCCTCACCTGCAGCTGCGGCTCCTGCCTGTGTCACACCATGCAGTGCCGATTGGGACAGGGGAGCTTCCTTCAGCTGGGCCATTTCTGCCCAGCTCAGATTGAAGCAGCCAGGGTGAAGGAAGCTTCCCCACCCCGAGTGGTGCTGCACAGTGTGACAGAAGCAGGAGCCACAGCTGGAGGTGAGGGGGGAAAAACAGCCCTGCCAGGCCCAGCAGCTTCTACCCAGCACGTGGAGCTCCAACTGCATCTCCCAGATGCCTTCCACCTTCCCAGGCCTCTGGGGGCTGGAGCCAGAGCTCCATGTGCAGAGCAGAAGCTGCAGGGCTGAAGCTTCCCACCTCCCACCCAGAGCAGCATGGCGTGGTCACAGCAGCGGCAGCTGGAGGTGAGGGGGACAGAACAGCCTCCCTAGCCTGGGCCAGCTTGCAGCTGATTGTGTGCCTGCAGCCCTGGGTGCTGCACAGGGGTTGCTGCCGGGCTTGGGGCTTGCCAGCACCTCCAAGCTGGCTCAGAAAGCCCACTCCCCAGCCAGCCCCAGCCTGTGCTGTCGGACCGGGCTGTCACACAGCCCCAGTGGGCTGGGAAGGGACCTGCACCCACAGGCCGGCCCCGCAGGGTCCTTCCCAGTCAGCTGGGGCTCCATGAGGGCCCTGCCCAGCTTGGGCATGGGGAGCCGCACAGTCCTTGCGCCTTAGCCCATGCTGCAGCCTTCTGGGAAAGGCGACCCCAGTGACCCAGCTTGGGCTAGCCTCTCCACCTCCTTCAGCAGTGCTCATAGGCCGGCTGGGCTCAGCCCTACAGCCCCAACCACTGGTGAGGCAGATGGATGGTGAGGGCCATGCTGACCATCTCTGGTCATGCTCCCTTCCCTGCCGCTGGAGCGGGAAGGGGGAAATAGCTGACGGGGGCTGCAGTCCCCAGTGTGTGTGTGTGGCGGGGGGGAAATAAACCCTCTCCCTGCTCCCTTTGCCTCAGTGGACCTGGCTGTGCCCCTGCCCCTGCTCAGGCTAAAGAGCAGAGGGGCAGGGCCAGCCCTGCTCTCTGGAGCAGAGAGCACAGCCCTGCCCAGGGCTGCAAGGCATCTGGGATACTGGGGGACTCTGATTTAACTTCAAGCAGGAAGGAGTCTGGGACAGAAGTTGTATAAACCAGTTTGACCCTAATCAGTTAAGTCCGATACTACATTCAACCAGGTTTATCTTAAACCCGTTTTGGCCATTTCAAAACGGATTTATGTGCAGTAAACTTATGTTCTGTTACAGGTTTAAACCAAATTCTGATCACTTAAACCAGTTTATGTGTAATTTTTATCCCTAGCCACAGAGTATATACACACTTTTAAACCAGGCGTTCCATGATGTAGAGCAGTGGTTCTCAAGCTTTTCCTTCCGGGACCCATTTGCAAAGGTTCATGGCCTGTAACGACCCATACCCTTCTGGCCCTACTGGTGCATGACCCACAGTCCCCACTGCCCCTCTCCCCCGCCCCCGGGCCATGATGGTGTCCCTCACTCCTGACCCGCAGAC